AAAGGCGATAATGACTATCGGCTATCTCCGGTATTTACTGCAATTGAAGAAAAGTTTTAAACATTTCCGTTAAGATTGAAGTTTTTAATGTAAACATTTTAATTGGACATGAGCAGCTCTGGCAATCGTATAAAAGTGTTTAAGTACGTCACGAGAACAACGAGATTTACAGATGCATTCAAATGTTTGGATAAAGAGCTCAAAGATAATTTTGGAACTGCACATCAAATGACAGAAAACAAGCTAACATGCACTTGCTGCGGTTGCCAGTTAAACGTCTAGGTTAAATATAATGACAGCTTCTGTTGTCTAGCAGTGTTATATGCACTGCACCATCAGCTGTTGAAAAGGGTGATCAGACCACTACAACCACAGGGGCTCAATGACCTACACATCTTCACGCTGCTATAACGAACACTGTATTCATATAGAATGTGTAGGCGATGTAGAAACAAAAGGTTTCTATTAAAATCTCATTTATACAGGCTTTTTAATTCATTAATTAAATATGATAATTCATTCATTAGATAAGACGATGTAGTATTAATGTTGAATATCCACTCAGTGTATACCTTTCTGTATTACTCGATATAAAAGAAACTTGTTAAACGAATAATATCTCCACTTTTCCCTAACTTTGCTGTCTAGAGAATAAGTTCCCCATCAGTCGTGTGTTAGTCCGAAAACTAAAACATCCCTGCAAACTAACTCCCTCAGTAGTTATTGTGATTTCCTGACAGAAATGTTTTAGTCAATCAGGTGAAAAAAAGGCGGAGATTGTGCTGACCTGGCCCCTCCTTGTTATTAATCGTGAGAGTTTTAGGTATATTTACAACTATCTTTGCGATTTGTTTCTGTAAAATAAAGCAGTAATGTTTTATATTGTATGGTTTGTCAAAATGAATATATATAAGTAAATATGCCTCCCCACAAAAATTAAACCACTGCCAAACTGATTGTGGTATGCAACACAACAATCAAGAAATCGTTCAATGTTCTCTATCCACGAGGGTCTCCTTCCTTCACTTAAATCTCCATTAGGTTAATCTGTAAAGAGATCCCAGCGAAGATGGCACAGTTGCCAGTGAACGTGGTTTCTGCAAAAGGCAGCCCTGTGTCGTTGGGTCAAAACTTGTCTGACAACGTCAATTTGCTTAATGTAAACGTGTTCGGTAGGTTCGGGTTTAGTTCTCACCATTTGATGATTTCGGAAGTTGTTCTTCACCTCTAAAGCAAAATATACAGGATTCATCTTAACATAGAAATAAAAGTATTGGAAGAATTCAAAAGTTTTAGCATATTTGAATTTTTGACTCTTTATACTCCCAAACCTTATAACACACTGGCAGATCACTTTCATTCTCTTGTTATGAGAGTCTTCCTTCCCACGACACATTAGGTTTAATCTTCAGTTTGTGCATTATCGGTTCTAGAAAAGTTTTCAGGAATTGTTTCTTTTGATATAACTCTTTGAAAATGTCCGTGTATGTTCTATTGGTATGTCCACAGCTCAAAAATGGGATATCCGACTATTTCCCGAAACAATCTACACGTGTTTGATACAACAACAACAATAGAAATGTTAAAAACAATCTTAAACATGCTAAACAATCGTGAGTCATTTCACTGTCCCGATCAGACAATTCCTTCCGACATCAGCCTTGGGAAACAGTTTGTCGTCCAGGAACAATATAATAACGGTTTCCATGGTGATTATTCTATTACTATACCTACTACAATATATTGTTGATGTTCGATATTGTATCTTGATCAATGACATATTGAAGCTTTGATAGTCGATGTTGATCTATACTATAAAATTGATGTATTTGTTGTATGATTGTCTTTAATATACTATGGTATATATTTCATGACTTGTTGTATGCTGATCCATTTTATAATATTGTTGTAAATGTTGTGTGTTAACCTTTAATACATCATTGTTGTTTAAGTTTTGTTGTAATTTATAATGTAATATTGTTGTTTTGTTGTAATTTATAATGTTATATTATTGTTTTGTTGTTATTTATAATGTAATGTTGTTGTTTTGTTGTAATTTGTAATGTTATCTTGTTGTTCTGTTGTTATTTATAATGTTATATTGTTGTTTTGCTGTTATTTATAATGTAATATTTTTGTTTTGTTGTAATTTATAATGTTATATTGTTGTTTTGTTGTTATTTAAAATGTAATATTGTTGTTTTGTTGTAATTTATAATGTTGTATTGTTGTTTTGTTGTTATTTATAATGTTGCTGTTATTTATAATGTAATATTTTTGTGTAATGTTGTTGTTTTGTTGTAATTTGTAATGTAATGTTGTTGTTTTGTTGTAATTTGAAATGTAATGTTGTTGTTTTGTTGTAATTTATAATGTAATATTGTTGTTTTGTTGTAATTTATAATGTTATAGTGTTGTTTTGCTGTTATTTATAATGTAATATTGTTGTTTTGTTGTAATTTGTAATGTTATATTGTTGTTTTGTTGTTATTTATAATGTTATATTGTTGTTTTGTTGTTATTTATATTGTAATGTTGTTGTTTTGTTGTAATTTGTAATGTAATGTTGTTATTTTGTTGTAATTTATAATGTAATATTGTTGTTTTGTTGTAATTTGTATTGTTATATTGTTGTTTTGTTGTTATTTATATTGTAATGTTGTTGTTTTGTTGTAATTTGTAATGTAATGTTGTTGTTTTGTTGTAATTTATAATGTTATATTGTTGTTTTGTTGTAATTTATAATGTTATATTGTTGTTTTGTTGTTATTTATAATGTAATATTGTTGTTTTGTTGTAATTTATAATGTTGTATTGTTGTTTTGTTGTTATTTATAATGTTATATTGTTGTTTTGTTGTTATTTATAATGTAATGTTGTTGTTTTGTTGTAATTTGTAATGTAATGTTGTTGTTTTGTTGTAATTTATAATGTAATATTGTTGTTTTGTTGTAATTTATAATGTTATATTGTTGTTTTGTTGTTATTTATAATGTAATATTGTTGTTTTGTTGTAATTTATAATGTTATATTGTTGTTTTGTTGTTATTTATAATGTTATATTGTTGTTTTGTTGTTATTTATAATGTAATGTTGTTGTTTTGTTGTAATTTGTAATGTAATGTTGTTGTTTTGTTGTAATTTATAATGTTATATTGTTGTTTTGTTGTAATTTATAATGTTATAGTGTTGTTTTGTTGTTATTTATAATGTAATATTGTTGTTTTGTTGTAATTTGTAATGTTATATTGTTGTTTTGTTGTTATTTATAATGTAATATTGTTGTTTTGTTGTAATTTATAATGTTATAGTGTTGTTTTGTTGTATTTATAATGTAATATTGTTGTTTTGTTGTAATTTGTAATGTTATATTGTTGTTTTGTTGTTATTTATAATGTTATGTTGTTGTTTTGTTGTAATTTGTAATGTAATGTTGTTGTTTTGTTGTAATTTATAATGTAATATTGTTGTTTTATTGTAATTTATAATGTAATATTGTTGTTTTGTTGTTATTTATAATGTAATGTTGTTGTTTTGTTGTAATTTGTAATGTAATGTTGTTGTTTTGTTGTAATTTATAATGTTATATTGTTGTTTTGTTGTTATTTATAATGTAATATTGTTGTTTTGTTGTAATTTGTAATGTTATATTGTTGTTTTGTTGTTATTTATAATGTAATGTTGTTGTTTTTGTTGTGTGTTGATCTGTTTTATGTTGGTCTTTTGTATAATGATGATGTTTCAGGTTTGCTTTTATACGCGAAATTAGACTGATTTAAAGGTTAAGATAAATTCCGAATCAATCCAAATGTCTCATGAATATATTTTTATCAAACATTCCCTTCTGATGTTTAATACAACCCTTTACAATAACTTACAACCTCTACGAACCATTAGACGACCCCTTAAACTTCATTCTTCATTTAAAAGGCAAAATCTTGACTATCTAATATTTTAGTTCTGTATTTAGTTTCAGTCTACGTTATCAAAATATGACGATATTCTAATTTGACTGTCATTCGACGTCACTATTGCGTAATAAAACGTCGTTAAGGAACAACTGAGATACTTGAGTGACATTTAGTTAGATGTGTTTGGAGGAAGAGAATAACCTTACAAAAACACAGTCAATGTTCCGGAATTTCAGTTTTTAATTATGATTTAATAACTTTTGTTCTTTATTTTTTCTAGGTTTAAGCTATTCAACGATTTTTGTCGTCAACGTTAAGCACACATTTAGTTTAACTTTACACTTGTTTAAGAACGCAATTATTCCAAATGTTATCTAACAATAAATTGACTTCGATGCGAGAGATGTTTACAAATGAAAATAAATATGTTGAGAATAAACGTTATGTTATACCAATGATTAATTCGACTTTTATGATAGCTATCTTTATAAATTCTCAAAATAGAGACTTTCGTGCAGTCCTATTTAATATACAAATTGGCAACTTAAACGATGATCATTTTGGGCGTCGCATGAATAAAAATACCATCGAACCACGAATACGTTTGGCTACACCGAGGTTAGTCACACGTTAAGTGTTAAGGCGCGCTAACAAAGCATGTATAGCTATTCACTATCTTCCCACAGGTGCAGACATATCCATTACCCTAAGTCCTCAATAAGCATTTAAATCAATGCAATTACAGTTAAAATAATTTCAACATTTCTCTGAAGTATTAGTCGTAATTAAATCCGGAACCGCAGATGTTGCTCTGGGACATAACAGAATTATACGCCATGTCAGGGCAGTGCCCAGATAAATGGAGGTGTATAACGACCTTTGTGACGAGAAAATCCACGCTCCCTACAAACTGTTCACGTAGATGTTTAATTGAATACAACTGTTTTAAACTACTGGCAAGCTCGTGTTCCGTCTCAAATTGTGCAGAACATCAACAGAACTAGCGCTGAGATGTGGTATCAGGTTACACTGATACTTGGACGCTGTCCCTTTTCCGAGAGAAGGTTACTTGTGGAGGTGGTATTGAGCTATCGTGTTTCCCGGAAAGTGTGAGTGTACTTCCGGGAGATATTGTGGGAGTATATCGCCTTTGTCTTTTGACCGATCCGTAACACGAGCCAAGAAACGTCATCAGTAAGTACGTGACATTGGTAGTGTTAACATTGTTGTGTTTTTGAAATTCCCTTTTCAGCAGTGTAAGAATTCACAAGGTAGGCCCAATGCAGTGATAAATCAAATGGATGATGGTTGAAACGTGTAGAAATGTCAAGCATGTGACCGTTTATCACGCGTACCGTTGCGCACCGACAGCCAGGTGAGGGCAAGTTGTGTACAGTGTGCACCAAACGGGGCAATCTCAGAAGCATTGGAAAAGGTGTGTAGTAGATGCCAACAACTATTTTCTGAGGAAGAAAAGAAATGGGCTGCGAGATAAGCGGGGTGGAACACTATCATGTCAGATACGCGTGGAGCAGGGACTATCCCTCCTGCCACGTGCCGCTTGGCCAATATGGATTTCACAGCCAGTCGTAAAAAAACGCAATAAAATAAAAATGTTAATTGAACACTATGTTTACAGACATGTTAACAAGACCTAGGTGTCATCTGGTTACCGTCATAGGATGACGGGGCGCAGGAAAACCCCCGGAAAAAGCTATTAGTTAATTCTAGAATAATGTGACACATCGGAGAAAGGTTTACTCAACAATGGTATATAATCAAGGTTTACAATGTCCAACTCCACGGAGATACTGGGTGTGCTCGGCCTAGGCTTACTAGCCATGTTCTCAGAAGATGGGTGACAGCGTTGGTGAGGTTCGCTGATAAAAGCGGTTGTAATTATCATTGTCTTACATAGTGTTAGTAGGATATACCAGGGCTGTAAATAAGGTTGGCGCCACCCTATCTCAACAGACGATGAAGGCCAATGTAGTAATCCCTCCTTTCATTCTTGTGCATATTTTGCTACTTAAGGCAACAGAGTGCCGATCTGTGCTGTCTGTAGACCTACCCCGGGGTTCGGAACATCTTACGAGGACACGCCGTGACGATATCGACGACGATTATGAGGAGTACGACGATTCATTGGATATTGTGTCAACGCCGTTAACTGCTGACGATATGCGGCAGTTTATTTTACCCGGTATCTTACCGTTGTCTCCGGAACCCGAGGATTCAATTCAACTCGCGGACCTCTCTAACCAAGCCCCGGAATATATGATGGAGCTGTATAAACAATATTCCTCCAGACGACTCGCCAGTCCGGAGTCGGCAATCGTCCGGAGTTTCACCAACATCAATCAGGACGAAGGTAGGATAACTTTTATTTTCGCTTTGAGGTATTTCTCTATGCATTATTTGAAACTTTATAAATATTTTCCGTTTGGTACATTAGGCAAGCTGTGTTACATCATTTGTCTGGGATCGCACGCTATCATTGCTATAGAATGGCGATCCCAGTTTTATTTCCTTCACCCTCGAGATAACGCAATGATTATTCCCGATAAAAATAAAATTAAAAGAAAAACAAGCAGGCGGATAGTGGATTGGTAGAGACGTTTTTTTAGTATGTTTTGTCAACCGTCAGCATGTGCGCTTTTTTCTGCCTTGCTCTGTTTGTGGATGCGAGGTCGATTTGATTGACGGCTGGTGTGATAGACGTGTTCACTTGAGTGTAAAATAATCCCTAAATCAAACCATTTTCCTGTGAAGCAAATGACATAGCATGTGTAGTGTTAACTCTTAAACCTATTTCTGGTACATCTGTCTATCGGAGGAACCGCATATGATATGAGCCCCAAACAGTAGAAACCTTCGCGAAACTTTGAAATACCGAATAAGACCGATGCATTTACATTGATTTGATTGTTGTTGGAAACTTTGTTTCACGCAGCATTGGGATGGAATTGGTACTCACAGTACATAGGTAACAAATCCAATCGAGCACCTGCGTAACATATCTGATCGTATTCCTGAAATTCATAACATGAAACAACGGTCTATCTTATACAAGAGAAGAAACATGAATAGGTTCACCAAGAGAATTTTGGAAATTTATGTTTTATTTCGGTAAATATTTATAGTTTAGATACTGGCTTCATTCTAATGAGAGTGAAATCTACTATTTACCTTAATATAAATGGAATGGGACTCGTGTTGGAACACAAATGTTCTATTAGAGTATATAAGTGGTACACACCATCCAACGTCCACACATCAAACGAACAAAACTTCCCTTCTAGGCGACGCCAGCTTCGTAAAAACCAACGAACATGAATGAGGGTTTACAGGGTAAAAACCTTTTCCACCAAGGAGGTGTAATTGGGTCTGAAGTCCTAGCAACCTAAACTGCGCCTTTTTAACGTTTGACTGTCAGTAAGTGTTTCTAGGTTTATATTTAAGTTTAAACGCACCCGGAACATGCTCGTCTTGCCACTGTTAGTGAAATGATGAATGAAGAAACGTAACGTGTCTGATAGACAGTTTACAGCCTTTTTAAACCACCAATTATCTTTCGTTTTGTCAGTTTGTGTTGAACAGGTGAGAGACGATATTCTTCCAACATTTTACAAGGGAAGTGACGATAGTAATTAGTAGTGACACGTATATAGCTCTTGCGTACTGAAAAAAATCACCTGACACAAGCGGCAGACATTTTTGTACATCATACAACATCAGTTTAATCTTTGTCGGAGAATGACACACTTGGCAGTATGTCACTAGTAGATTTACAGGGAAGTAATAATTACAAAGAATCACTCTACAAAATGACGGACCTGAATTATAGACAAACTTGGAATATAGATAGACTGGGATTACACATATACCTAGATTATAGACAAACCTAGCCTGTTATAGACAGACCTGGAAATTGACAGACCTGAATTATAGACAGACCGGAATTACAGATAACCTTGGATTATAGTTAGACCTGGGTTATAGACAGACCTGGGTTATAGACAGACTTGAGTTATAAACAGACCTGGATTATAAACTGACCTGGGTTATAGACAGACCTGGGTTATAGACAGACCTGGGTTATAGACAGACCTAGGTTATAGACATACCTGGGTTATATACAGTCTGGGATATAGACAGACCTGGGTTATATACAGACTTCATTATAAACAGTTCCGGGTTATAGACAGACCTGGGTAATAGACAGTCTGTGTTATATACAGACTTCATTATAGAAAGACCCGAGTTATAGACAGACCTGGGTTATAGACAGACCTGGGTTATAGACAGACTTACATTAAAGACAGACCTGGGTTATAGACAAATCTTGGTTATAGACAGACTTGAGTTATAGACAGACTTGGTTTATAGACAGACCTACATTAAAGACCGACCTCGATAATACACAAACCAGGTTTATATACATACTGAGTTATAGACAGACCTGGGTTATAGACAGTCTGTGTTATATACAGACTTCATTATAGACAGAACTACATTAAAGACAGACCTGGGTTATAGACAGACCTGGGCTATGGACAGAACTTGGTTATAGACTAATAAAATCTTTTACCTGTAACTGAGCGAGATCGGGTCATCTCGGTCGACGGTTAAGATTCTGTAACAAAATCCCAACCGAGTCGTAAGCCGAGGTTGGAATGTTACAGAATCTTAGCCCGAGACTGAGATAACTCGATCTCGCTCAGTAACAGGTATTTTTTTTTTCTCTCTCACCTTTTAGCTCGAAATGAACTATTCAATTTTGCTAAAAGCTACAAGTATTCCGCCTTGGGCCTCAACGGATAATGACCTCTTCACTTCTAAAGCTACATTTGAATGCTTCCGCGTAAAACTGTAGACCGTCCTTACATAGATTACAACGTATTCCACAGTGTAGATTATATTTTATCTACAATATCATATATCTAACAACATCAAAACTATACATATAACGGCAAAACAGAACATTTATAATGCAAAGTGCCAATTTCAAGCAGTTAACGCTTGGATGAATACATCGCAGTGTAAAAATTCCGCGAAATGTCACGTAAAGGTACAAGACAGATCGGACGAGAAAGAAAAATATAGCATGGGGTATGACTTGGGATATCTCTGTCTGAGGTGCGAGAAAGACCTGGGTTATAGACGGACGTACATTATAGACAGACCTGGATAACATACAAACCATGGTTATATACATTATGGGTTAAAGACAGACCTGGGTTATAGACAGACCTGGGTTATATACAGACCTGGGTTATAGACAGACCTGGGTTATATACAGACTACATTAAAGACAGACTTGGGTTATAGACAGTCTTGGATTTAGACAGACTTACATTATAGACAGACTTGGATAATATACAAACCAGGGTTATATACATTATGGGTTATAGACAGACCTGGGTTATAGACAGTCTGGGTTATAGTCAAACTTCCTTATAGACAGACCTGGGTTATAGACAGACCTGGGTTATAGACAGACCTGGGTTATATACAGACTACATTATAGACAGACTTGGGTTATAGATAGTCTTGGTTTTAGACAGACTTGCATTATAGACAGACTTGGATAATATACAAACCAGGGTTATAAACATTATGGGTTATAGACAGACCTGGGTTATAGACATACCTTGGTTATATACAGACTACATTATAGACAGACTTGGGTTATAGATAGTCTTGGTTTTAGACAGACTTGCATTATAGACAGACTTGGATAATATACAAACCAGGGTTATAAACATTATGGGTTATAGACAGACCTGGGTTATAGACATACCTTGGTTATATACAGACTACATTATAGACAGACTTGGGTTATAGATAGTCTTGGTTTTAGACAGACTTGCATTATAGACAGACTTGGATAATATACAAACCAGGGTTATAAACATTATGGGTTATAGACAGACCTGGGTTATAGACATACCTTGGTTATATACAGACTACATTATAGACAGACTTGGGTTATAGATAGTCTTGGTTTTAGACAGACTTGCATTATAGACTGACAGGCCTTGTTTATACCCAGCTGCAGCTGAATCGTGTTTATTCATAATGATGACAAGGAAGTGCACATTTCTAAATGAAGATTTATCTCTGACCAAATCTCAGCAAAGAGAAATTTGAATTTATTTTAAGTACTTATCTGATTTCTATTTTGATAAATCATGTTTTGATTACAGAGCAACAAACAATAAGCTACTCTTTCCAAAATCCTGTTTGTGTTTGAGAATTGAAAAGCTACTTATACTATAGTAATATAAATGTACAATGAACAATTGCAATTGAAAGCCGCTGTCTTAAAACGGGGGATTGATAATTATATTAATATGTCATGTTACAAAGACACATGCTCAATATACGCGCACAATTCTACTGAAGGATTGACTAACAACTGTAGACATAATGATATATAAAGCCTCGGTCAGCAAATAAAGATTAGGTACTATACACCATAGGGTGAGCATAACAGACTAAACGGGAAATTGAGATTATTCTACACAGCGTATAGCGGGAACAGCAGACAAAGCGAGTAATTGAGAGAGTTCTACACACCGTATGGCGGGAACAGCAGACAAAGCGGGTAATTGAGACAGTTCTACACACCGTATAGCGGGAGCAGCAGACAAAGCGGGTACTTAAGAGGGTTCTTCATACCGTATAGCGGGAACAACAGACAAAACGATACTTGAGTGAGTTCTTCATACCGTATTACGGGAGCAGCAGACAAAGCGGGTAATTGAGAGAGTTCTACACACCGTATGGCGGGAACAACAGACAAAGCGGGTAATTGAGAGAGTTCTTCATACCGTATAGCGGGCACAACAGACAAAGCGAGTACTTGAGTGGGTTCTTCATACCGTATAGCGGGAGCAGCAGACAAAGCGGGTAATTGAGAGGGTTCTACACACCGTATAGCGGGAGCAGCAGACAAAGCGGGTACTTGAGTGGGTTCTTCATACCGTATAGCGGATACAACAGACAAAGCGAGTACTTGAGTGAGTTCTTCATACCGTATTACTGGAGCAGCAGACAAAGCGGGTAATTGAGAGAGTCCTACACACCGTATGGCGGGAACAACAGACAAAGCGGGGAATTGATAGAGTTCTTCATACCGTATACCGGGAACAACAGACAAAGCGAGTACTTTAGAGGGTTCTTCATACCGTATAGCGGATACAACAGACAAAGCGAGTACTTGAGTGGGTTCTTCATACCGTATGGCGGGAAAAGCAGACAAAGCGGGGAATTGAGACAGTTCTACACACCGTATAGCGGGAGCAGCAGACAAAGCAGGTACTTGAGAGGGTTCTTCATACCGTATAGCGGGAACAACAGACAAAG